CATGCCCAGACAGTCTGGGGCACAAAGGGTCTCTAGGACTGTGGTTTAAGCCTGCATCATAGTTCTCACTTTTGTTGTGAGTGCCAGGGTAAGACAGATGGAATACCTGTTACCCATAAGTTTAGTGAACAAAATGGGACAAAAATGATTAATCGGGCTACACAAGTTTCATCAGCATAGTTGTTTATATAGAATGTTGTTTTGGACTGCATAATTCTGTTTTTTACTTTAATCCTAACTACTCTCAGACTAACTTATTTTAGGCACTAAATGCTTGTTTACTCCCAGAAAAATTTAAAGAAATATTTAAAACACAGTATTATATTTAAAGAAAGTATATATTCCACTCAACAAGTATTTATTAAGTTGATCCTATATACAAGACACTGGAATGTAGTATATAGTATATAATGTAGTATATTATTACTGTATCTTAAACATGTGTGTGTATATGATACACACCATTGATTTTTAAATCATTTTATAGCTTTTTAATAAATTTATATTTTAATTTAGTTTTAGTTTTTAAATGCAATGCTATATTCTTTTGTCTATATATAATGCATAATGACATACAGATTTGAAGTTAGGCTAGATTACTATGAAGACTAGAAACAGATTTCCTGAAATTTTTGGGAAATGAAAAGCTGCCTTAATTAGCACCTCTCTCAGAGGGACTGATCATTAATCACCATTTATTAAGTGTTCAGAAACTTTTATGAGTTAATACACCAAGGCTATTAGCCTTATGACTCTAGCCTGGATTTGAACAAATTAATAAAAATGTTACCTGCCTAAGAAATTTCATATGTTGTCTGACCATTGCTGAGGCCATATGGCCAGACAGGTATATAAGTTGACACAGATACTTAGCTAGTCAGAGCTGCTAAATATTCACATTGTAAAGGGTTTTTTTTGTTGTTTCTTTTTTAAATTAAAAGTGCAACACATTTGTTTGGAACAAATACCCCTCACAGGGGTCCAATACAATAACAAACAACATTTTATCAGAGAATTTCAACAAGAAATACCTGTATGAACACAATTATAGACAGCATGACATTCAGTTGTGTCTGATTCTTTGTGATTCCTTTTGGGGTTTTCTTGGCAAAAATACTGGAATGGTTTGCCATTTTCTTCTCCAGCTCATTTAACAGATGAGGAACTGAGGCAACCAGGGTTAAATGACTTGCCCAGGGACACAGCCAGTAAGGGTCTGAGGCCAGATTTGAACTCAGGAAGATGAGTCTTCTAACTCCAGGCCTGGCACTCTATTCACTGAGTCACCTAGCCTCCCATTCTACACATAATAGGTACTTAATAAATGTTGATTTGAACTCATCACTGTTCAGTGCCCACCACTCAGGGAGAGACGATTGGTTGTATGCACCTCTTCAAGAGCTGAGGGAAGTTTTTGTTGTTGTCTTTTAAAAAAATGGTCTACCCTTTCCCCAACTTCTCTTTTCCCTGCCCTGTGTCTATCCAATGAGAACGTAATTTATTCAACTTGATTCTTGTACCAAGATGTTTCTTGTATACTGCTGTTGTTTTAAATGTAAGGCCAAGGTTATATGGAAATACGAAAAAATTTAAATTAGGGCAGAGAGCCAAATTTCTGTCTGAATGTTAGGAATTTTCCTGAGAGCTCTCAGCTACTGTAATTGCACTTGTAACTTTTCATTTTATATACTCCATAAAACAGCAGAGAAAAGGACCAAATATAACAGAGAACCATTATATTGCCTCTAGGCTTTAAGGAAGAAAAAAAAAAGGAAACTAATTTTGTCACAGGCTTTTCGAATCTCCAGAGAGAAAAGGGTGAAAATTACTCTTTACCACTCCCCTGGAAGATGGGCCTGGGAAGAATTTAGCTCCACCCCTATCCATGGATGAGGGATCAGAAAAGATCAGTGGGCCAATTCTAACCTCCACAGCAACCACAGATGTTACAGTTTCACCTTCTACATGAAGCCTTTCGAATTCCTCCCCCTGGGCTAGTGCACTCCTTCCTTTCCAAAACTACCTTTTTATTCTGTATGTTGTGTTCCCCTAATAAAATGCAATGTCATTGAAGGCAAGAGCTATTCTATGCTTGTGTTTATATCCCTAACAGGTTGACCAGTTCCTGGCATATAGAAGACACTTAATAAATGCTTACTAACTAGTTTCTACAATCCAGAAAGGTTCCTGTACCCTCTGGTATAGACTCATTATTCCTGGAGTCTGAATGCACAGCCCTGTACTAGAGTCACATAGTAGTAGCACAGTTTCTTTCCTAAAGAAATTTACAATGTAGAAGTAGTAGTTAAAGAGCCCTTGAGAAAAGTTGAGAAAACACAGCTCCTTTTCCTTCCCTGAAGAGATGCTGGTTTGGAGGATGGGGAACATACACAATAAGCATATGAAATGTGGTTATCTACTGTATGGAGTAGTTGTATTGGTTGGTTTTGCTGAATTGCTTTTTTCTCTTTCTTTTTAAATGTTATAATGTATGGCTTACTGGTTTCAGGGAAGAGAAATTCAGAAAATAATGTAATAACAGAAGGTATCAATAAGATATTTTAAAGAATAGAAGACCAACTCTAAGGTGAGGAAGACCTGAGTTCAAATATAACCTCAGACACTTACTAGCTATGTGACCCCCATTTGCCTCCAAAAAAAAAAAAGAGGAATGTCAGAATTGGAGTGGAACTAATAGATCATTTAGTTCAAACTTTTTATTTTACAGATGAGGAATCTGAAACCCTGAAAAGTTAAATGAGTTGAAGATTACAATTAAAAAAAATATATATCTGTGACATATTCTTAGGTGACTGAAGAAATGGTTTAAGGAGTTTGAACCTCTGGTAAGTGTTTCAAAGCTTGAGACACGGATCATTCAGACTTTGTAGTGGCAACATGACTTAAGCAGGGTTTCAGAGAATCAAAAACTGGCCATTTTGTGATGTGTGCCATTATGCCACCTCAGAAAACTGTAGACTGAATGCTTCTAGAGAAAAATGATCATATTATGCATATACCATGCTAATTACAGCAGGAATAAAATGTCAGTGTTTTTTTCACTCAAACCCAAACTTTTCCATACCAATAAAATATCTGAATTCTCAGAACTTTCTGTGCTCTCCTCTTAGTGAGGCTCAATAGCTGGGGTGGAAGAAGCAAGAAGCTGGAAATAGAGAATAGTCAGTTTTCTAAATAGCATAGGCTTTAATGAGGACTGTATTGATTGTTACAGATTGGTAAAAATTTGCCCCAAAATATTGACCAGGAAATATTGACCTAACCTATCTCCCTCAGGCTGGCTGGATAGAGTGGAGGTGGGACATTGGAGAACTCCCTAATCCTCTACCTTTTAAAGAGGGCAATCGGGATTTGCCTCATCATTTTCCACCCCGTTGACTTCCTGGATGTCATGATCTCCAGAAACTAACCATTCTGCAAAATGAATTCATCTCTGTAACTAATATCTCCTCAGATCACTTCCAACAAACTTTAGAACTTCTTTATTCTTGCTCTAAGCCATGTCCTGCCTCCCTCCACCCTCAACCCTCATCCCACTCTATCTTCTGTGTTGTTTGCCTCATTAGATAATTAGCTCCATGAGGGCAGGAGCTGTCTTATGCACAGTACCTGGCACACCTAATCCATCTTTCACCCTCCACAACTCCCCACGTAGGGTTTTTACCTAGTGTGCACTGTTTTTGGTGCAAAGGCAAAAATGAAACAGCAGCTGCCTATTTCACTTCAGCCACATCCCCAATGTTAAAAAAAAATCCATTGGCAGGTTGAAGTCATTATTAACTGTCCATAGTGGGTGGGCATGGGTGCCTTAGGGGTCAAAAGCCCAAAAAGCAGATGGGTCTTCTGTCTCTAAAGTAAGTGAGAATCTCAGCCTAGGATTTAAGGCCCTACAACACCTGGCTTCCGTCTTATTTCACAGTATCATCCTTCATAAATTCTGCTTCCCAGTAAAACTGAACTGCTACCTGTTCCTTAAATCTGAAAGGCATCAATGCAACCATCCCCACATCCCACCCTGCGATACGTTCGCCCGTCTATGCTGGTCAGGCAGCAGGCATTCATGAAGGGCCTACTACGTGCCAGGCATCGTTCAGACTTTCTGGGATCAGGAAGCCCTCCGGCCGTTCTTCCCCCCCCCCCTTAAATTAGAAGCTCCCGGAGCTGTCTTTTTTCAGCATAGCTTCCTCAGTGCCTAGGATGCGGGCCGACTCTGCCCGGAGCAAGTGAGTTGACAGCTCCCCGAGGCCACAGCCCCGGGTGGGTGGAGGGGGCTGCGAGGACAAAGAACACAGGGGCGGCCTTGCGCGCGTAGAGGGGCGGGCAATAGAGAATCTGGAGATGACCAACTGAGAAAGGCGAGGATAGAGGCCCCAGCAGGCCCCCCCTCCAAAATGGCTGCGGGGGCCCCCGCGCTCGAGAAGCCGCGTCCCCTCCAGGGTCTCTCTCCCTCGAGGGAGGGATGTCCCAGAACCGTGGGCGTGGGGGCGAAAGGAGAAGTCTCGCGTAGGGTAAGAGAAAACAGTAAAGGAGGAAAGCCCGGAGAATGGGAGGGGCGTATAGATGCGCGTGCGTACGAAAACAAGAGTCTCGGGCGCTTGCGCGGCAGCTGCGGGAAGGGCCTCTGGGGTGGTGCGGGGCGGGGGGAGGGGAGGAGGAACTTGAGGAATCGGGCGGCGCGTTGGAGCAGCCACCGGGCGGCGGGGGCGCGCGGGGCGGAGGGGAAGTTGCGGCTCTGGGGAAGGCTTTTGGGAACGACGAGCGGGGGAGGAGGGGCGCGCGCCACGAGGGGTGGCGCGCGTGCGCGCTGAACTGGGACGGGTCGCGAGAAGCTGCCGCTGGCACTGTTGCCGCGGCCGCTGCTTGGGACTTGGGGCCGCTGGCCGCTGCGGCTTGAAAAAAAGGGGGTCGCGCGGAACGGGATTCGGTCAGGCGAACGCGAGCCGGGAGCCGGGGGGCTTACTCTGCCTCCTCGGGCCTAAGCCGCCCTGAAGAGCCCGAGACGGGGAAGAGCGGGCCGGCCGGCCCTGGGGGAAGCGGAGACCTTTGGGGAAGGAGGCGGCGGCCCAGGGCCTGGCCGCCGCCCGGAACGAGGAGGAGGAGGGAGAGGAGGGGACCATGTCCTCGAGGGCCCGCGACAAACTCTCTACCACCGACCGCGTCATCAAAGGTACCGGCCCAGCACCCAGGGAACGGCCTCCGGGCTCTGCGGCTGGCGAGGGCGAGGGAAAGGGCAGAGCCGGGGGGTCTTCTGGGCCGAAGCGGGGAGTCCCGAGCTGCTGCTCCGATTCGGAGGGCCCCGGCAGGCGGCGGCCGGCTGTGGGGCTAGCACGGAGGGTCCTTGGTCGGCTGGGCATCTGGGAGCCCAACGCCCGTCGTGCTTGGGAATGTGCCTGTGCCGGCTGATCCGATCTCCCGGGGATGGGGTGTGGATTTCCTCTCTCGTCTTGTCTCCAGGACGAAGGATCTCACTGATTCCTCTGGGGGTACGAAGTGATTCTCAGGTCTGACCCCACCCCCTCTCCTCCTTTTCTACTTTGGGATTTGCTTTTATTCTTCTGCTTTTTCGACCTCTTGGCCCTTTTTCTGAGTTCCTCCCGATATATCCCCCCTAGTTACCTTCTAGTAACTCCTTGCTTGAAAATTGAGTCTCAAAATAACAAGTCATCCCAACTGTCTAGTTTCTTTCCATTTGTCGCCCCCTCATCCTAAGTCTGGTGCATTTCTGCATTAAAGTCCTCCTGAAACATGGTGAAATAAGCCTTCAAAGAAATCGCTTTAAGGGATTTACTTATTTCCTAAAAAGATGCTTTAGTCAAAGCCCGAGAGCGATATTTTTCGATCTAGATGTTCATTTTAGGAAGATTAGCTATTAACTGAGTTAGTATAGGGTTTGTGCTTTGTTAAACTAGCAAGATCTGTCAAACAAGTATTCTCTTTAGTATGTCTTTTATTCAGACTTCATGTCACACCCTTTGCTGGCGTTCCTGTGTAACAGAACTTAGTTTCAAAACACTAATGTGTGCCTGCATAATCCTGAGAACAGACCTTCACTTTGATTTGGAGGGATTGGTTAGAGGAAGAGATTCAAACTTTTCTTTTCATTTTGGTGTTAGAAAAAGAAAGGAATAAATAGTGACGGATGTCAGGAGTGAGAAGGGTCTCTAAGGTCCCTTCTACGTTCCCCAGTTTTGAGGGAAAAAAAAACTGAACACTTGTTTTTTGTTTATAAGAGACCAGCTTTATGACGTTGTTGATTGAATATGTGTTTAATAAATATTCTAGTTCAAGTGGAGATTAAGTGGTGGTACAGTGGAGTACTGGCTCTGAGTTAAGATGACAATCTGAGGTTCAAATCCCACATGTAACAATACTGTGTAACCTTGTGCAAATTACTTAACCTCCCTGACCCCAGTGTCTTCCCCTGTAAAATGAGAGGCTTGGACTACATGGCTTCCGAGGTCCTTTTCAGCCCTAAGTCTATTATCTAATGATGGTTATCTGGCACCATCAGGGTATGAGGTATTTATATTTTACAAATAATTTGAACTTACTCTTTTTAGTACTGAAACTTAAAAATTAAACCATTGTGATTGTAAAGATTTCTAAAAATCTATCATATTCTTCCCTGTCTTAAGGTAAACTGAGCATAGCGTATTATTTTTTGATGACTCGGAATCATAATTGTGAATAAGTCATTGTGTTGGACCTTTAAAATCGTTTGTTATAAGTAGGGGTGTGAAACTTGAATTGAGTGGAGGAAGTAGCCATACAAATCACTGATTATTCAAAAGTACCCAAGTAAAATAGTACAAAGAACACTGGACTCTTGATGGGGATTTGAGTTTGAGTTCTGGCCCTGCCATTGATTTGCTGAAAATGCCTTTGAGCAAAGGATTTCACTTTTCTGTTTTTGTGTGAGTGTGTGTGTGTGTGTGTGTCGTTAAATTGTGGATAATAATACCTAGTCAGTCTTCCTCACAGATTTAATGTTAAAATCAAATGGCAGTAAATGTGAAAGGCTTAAAACACTACCTAAGTACAACGTAGTTCAGTAATGAGATGGTGATAATGATAAATTTAGATCATTCTTGGAGTCTTAGGTGATAGGAGCCACTGACCATGGAATTTTGCTCAGAAAGTTTAATAAGCATTGTGAAAATTGAAGAGGCCGTGTGATATAGTGAATGGAGTGCTGTTTTAAGCCAGAAAGTCCTCCCTCTGATGCACACTGCTTGTATGACCCTAGGCAAATCATTTATCATCTCATTATGAGGTGATCACCTGCATTGGTAAAGAAAATGTCCTTATCCAGAAGTATCCTATACCAGTGAAATCACAGGTCCGGTCTCTTTTTGTCTTTGACATTACAGTGCGCACCAGAATTAAAATAGTCAGTTTTTTAAAAATGTACATAGCTTATCCAGAACAAGCAGCTGCTTTTTTTTTTTAAGCTAGGCAATGGGGTTAAGTGACTTGCCCAGGGTCATACAACTAGTAAGTGTTATGTGTCTGAGACATTTGAACTCAGGTCCTCCTGAATCCAGGGCCGGTGCTCTAGCCACTGCGCCACCTCGCTGCCCCAACAAGCAGCTTTACAGAGACTAATACAGCTATTTTTTCTAGTTTTGTGGCTTCTTAGTTTTTCTGTTGACCATGTTGATATGAATATAACAAATGTACTAATATAGAATGTTTATCATTTAACAAGTTGATTGAATTTTTATAATATAATGTATTCAATTCACTCCAATATTTGTTGAATGCATACTTTGTGCAGTTGTGGGTTCTGGTTTGACATTTTGGTTCCTGGTACTAACTTCCTCCCAATGTGTGGAAGGCTTTTGTAACATGAAAAACGATAGATATCAAGGTAGTGTGGTCCAGTGGAAAGAGTACTGACTCTTGAGTCATAGGATCTGAGTTCACGTTCTGCTTTGATATTTAATTATGTGGGCAAGTCATTTTACCTCCCTGGGCCTCAGTTTCCACATCCATAAAATAGGAAGATTGGGCTAGATGACTTCTGAGGTCACTTCTAGCTCTTAGATCCTATTATGTAAAAGTGATCTGCTTAAAAAAAATCTTTTCTTTAATTTATTGTAATGATTCAGATTCATTATGTCACTGCTTCTGATACCTAGGTTGAAGAACTAGAGACCCAAATGCTTGAATCCGCATGGATGATTCATTTTCAACTTAATTGATGAAATTCTGAACTGTGTATTTTATTTGGTTTAGGAATGTTGCTTTTCTTTGACAGAATTTTTTTAAAAGTATTTATAACTTCAGATTGAATCATTTCTAGAAATAAGGAAGTTTGCTTTAGAAATATACACTCATATGTCTGTATATGATCTAAATCTATAGCTACATCTGTATAGATATAGATATAGATACGTATCACCCATATATCCATGTGGCATAGTGCAGAGGTGTCAGACTCAATGCCAGGTTGCAGACCACTGGACTACAAAACTATGGATGAGACTAGAAACAGATTAGGATGTACTTGAGAAATGTTTAATAAAATAAATAAATACAATGCAATGTAGATAATGGTAATTTGTGGTTTTCTGAGTCAGTGTGCAGCCTGCTAGTTCACAGGCTTAGTAGGTAGGGAGTTGCCCTGGAAGCCAAGAAGACTTGGATTCAAGTCCTGCCTCTGGTAGGTACTCTGTGTGTGACCCTTAGTATCTCACTTACCCTCTCAATGCTCTTAGAGCTCTCAAAGACTGTAAGTTTCAGAGAATATGGCAACCTGCATTGGAAGGAGTTGAATTACTCAGGAGTTCCATATACAGGTGAAATTACAGGTGCTGTCCCTACTGCTTTCCGTGTGTGTGTGTGTGTGTGTGTGTGTGTGTGTGTGTGTATACACACACATATACATACATACACACACACATACGTACATATACATACATATATGTACACATGCATCAGTTATAAAGAGTCTGTAAAAATTCATTTTCAAAGTAGGTACACCTTAGAAGTTAGACTTCTTGTTTTGTTGGAACAAAGCACTCTCATTCTGATGGAAGTAGTTATAATAGCTAGTTTTTATATAAAGCCTTAAGGCTTGCAAAGTATTTTACATATATTTTGATATTTGATCCTCATAACAACCCTGTGAGGTAGGTCCTATTATTACCCCATTTTCCAGGTGATGATAATAGAGACTGTCAGGATTTAAGTGATTTGCTCAGGGTTATACAACTAGATAAGTATCCAAAGCAGGATGTAAACTTGGACCTTTTTGACCCCAAAGCCAGTGCTTCATCCACTCTGTTGCCTAAATATATTGTGTAGAGAGTTACATGAGCTAAAGGCTATGAAGTACTGAACCATAGGAGATTACTTTCCCTGGATACATGTTATGAGTTCACTTTTTCTCTTAATGGTATCCTGATCCTCCAGTCACTCATGTTAGAAATCTCCATCATCCTCAGTTTCCTCCTGATTTCTAGTCAGTTGCCAAGTATTGTTGATTCTTCCTGTCATATAGCCAGTTTATCTTTCTCACTTAGACTATTGCAGTAGCTTCTCAATTGGTCCCCTGTACTCTGATCTTTCCTCTCTCCAGTCCATCTTCTACACAGTTACCAAGTGATTTTCCTAAAGCACAGATTGGACAGTGCCATTCCCTGTTGTCTCTAGAGTTCAATACAAATTTTTTTATTTGGCATTAACCCTTCATGTTCTGGTTCTAACTTACCTTTCAAGATATACTTCATGCTGCTTGTCTTCATTCCCTCACTTTACAATCTTGTCCAAATTGGTCTACTTATTTTTTTACTCGGCATCCCATCACCTGTCTCTGGATGTTTACACAGACTGACCCCTTGCCTGTTCTTCTTCCTCACCTTTACCTCTCAGAATGCTTAGCTTGTTTCAGAGCTCTGCTCAAGCATCACCACTTATAAGGTCTTTCCTGATCTCCATAAATATTAATACTCCCTGAATTACCTTGTCCTTATTTTGTATATATTTTGAATCTGTTTATATGTGTAATGCTATTTTCCTGAATAGAAGGTAAATTTCATGAGTAGGGACTGTTAGGTTTTCATCTTTGTTATCCTCATGTTTTGTATGGTGTCTTAAACATAGAAAACAATTAATAAATTATTTGACTTGTTGATTATGTTCATAGTTTTTATATTCATGGAT